ACAAAATAACTCACTAACTGTTCAAGCTGTTGAGTCCAAGAAGAATTAAAGTCACGGACTGACACTGATAGTTGGGAACTCAGAGCTAGGAATCTGCAGAGTCAGGTGGTTGCATCAGCACTTGCTTGGTCAAAGGTAAACAGTTTTGTAGGTGGTTTAGTTGGCCAGGGAAGGACAAGGGTGAATATGCTGAGTAAAGTTTATGCAATTTCCCCAATAGACGTTACTGCTTAATAGTTGCAGCCTTTTGAAATGGGTTTCCTCAAACGAATCACAGAACACAGAAGAGAATTTGAGCGACTCTTTTCCTAGTTCTCCCAACGATGGTACATAACTCGTACCATTCTAGATTCAGTTAATTCACTGCATCCGATAGATGCCTTAACCTGTTGCCGTCGAGTTGATTCTGACTCACAGTGATCCTATAAGACAGAGTAGAACTGCCCCACAGGGTTTCCAAGGAGCGGCTGGTGGATTTGAACTGCCGACCTTTTGGTTAGCAGCTGTAGGTCTTAACCACTGAGCCACCAGGGCTCCATAGAAGTCTTAGGAGGGCCTAGTTCTCAGGTCTGGAAGGGCTAGAAGCCCTATGGACTATCCCATCCACACAGCAGATTTGTCAACACAGCACTACCATTTTTCTAGAACCTGACTAAACAAATCAGCTTGAAGTTTATTTTTTTGATCCTTCCCTCCCCTTTATCCTCTATAGTTAATTTAATCAGTCAACAAATCCTGCTTTTACTTTCCTCAAAATATTTACTGTAATACCTTCTCCTCTCCATTCCCATTTCCTGTACCACTTCTGGGCCTCCATCAGCTCATGACTGAATTAGTATTCTAACTTAACCTCTCTGATTCTCAGTTCCCTCATGTGCAAAATAAAAATAATCATAGTAACTCATCTTATAGGATGGTGGTGAGGATTGCATGATACATTTTGTACAAAGTGTTTAGTGCAATACCTTACACATAGTTAGCTTTTTTTTTTTAAGCTATTATTATTGTTAGCATCACCTAATCTTCTTGTCTCTGGTCCATTCCTGCCTCCAATTCACTCTGCATACTAGCTCTATACAAATCTTTCTAGAAAGCATGTCACTCATCGCCTTAGGAATCTATCATATCAGACTCCTGCCTGTCTTTCCATGCCCTCTTCTGCTCGTTCATTCATTCATTCTTTTATCCATTAGTTCTTTCAAATTCAGACCCTAGATATCCAAACTTATTTCCTACTATTTCCAAACACGAATCATTCAACCATTCATTCAATATATTGATATTGGCCTCCCTGCTCTGGGTCAGATATTGGAGATATAGTAGGAATTAAGACAGAAGCAGTGCCTGTCTTCACAGAGTTTTTACAGTTGGAAGAATAACAAGTGTCAGGGAAGTCTCTTCTCCATGCTCCCCGTATGTTGTATGGGTTCCTAACCCATTCCGCACTGCTCTCTCTTCTCTCTAAAATACCACTCTATTTTGCACTTAACTGTCATATAGCTAATGTGAGTTCAATGTGTGTCATCAACAAGATTATAAACCCATAAAGGGACTTCTGTATTCTCCTAAGTGCCTAACACATTAGGAGTTCAAACATACTTTTCAACTGAGATTGATTCATTGATTTTTATAGGATGAAGAACACATGTCCTCTTTTGGGTCCATATTTTTAAAATATGCATATTATAAAAATTTTGCAGTCTAATGGAGGAAGAAGGAGAACTTACATTTCTATCAATTAGAATATCTATTAATTTGGGCTGAGCTCTTTGATTTATTAATAATAATTGCCTGTTGATAGATAATCCACTAGTATTTGAGAAATGAACATTATTTTGTATTTTTCATTCAGTAGTTCTACAGAATTAAAGGATAGTCTTCAATAAATTCTTGTTCTGATTACTATTGCTGTGTAACAACTTACCCCAAAACTTAGTGATGTCAAGCAACACCCATTTTATTTTGTTTGCTATTCTGTGGTTTGGGGATTTAGAGAGGGCTTGGCTGGGCAGCTCTCCCCTGGGTAATCTCTCATGTGTTGAGGCCAGATGTCAGCTGTGGTTCAGTCATCTAAAGTTTGACTGGCTGGATACCCCAGAAGGCTCGCACATGTGGCTGGTGGTGGGTGCTGGCTGTTGGCTGGGAGCTGAGCTGGGGCTGCAGACTGGAGCACCTATGCATGGCCTCTTCAGTATGGTGGTTTTTGGGGTAATGGACTTCTTCATGGTGGCTAGTTTCCTCCAGAGCAAGTGTCCTAAGAGCACCAGGTGGAAGCTATGTGATCTTTTATTTCCTAGCTTCAGAAGTCACATACAGTCACTTCCACCACACTCTGTGGGTAGAAGCAGTCCCAAGGCTGTTGAGATTCAAGGGGAAGAGACATACAACTCTCTTCTCATGAGAGAACCGCAAAGAGCTTGTGGCCATTTTTTAAAACACCAAATTCCCTCCTCTGGCCACAAATTACTTACATCCTTCCAAATGTAAAATACATTTCCTTCTCCCAAGCCATTGACCACTGCTGTGCTTCAAGTGTTGATCTACAGAACAGGGAATTACAGTACCTACCCTGCTGTCTGTTGGGAGGATGAAATAGGAAAATCCAAGGGAAAGTTGCCTGGCATGGCAGTCTGTAAATACTAATTGAATCTGAATAAAATCCTCCCTATAACTGATTTCTTAAATTCCTTGAGGGCAGCAACTATATCTTGCTCATTAATAGTAGCCCCGTTGCCAAGCACAGTGCCCAAATGCCTGTCTGTAAATACTGGTTGAATCTAAGATGGCATCTGACTCAGGCTCGAGATCCAAGATCTCAGCATGCAAATGTGAATAAGGATGAGGCTTCTCGGGTTCAGTTTTTCAGATACAAACCCTCTCTTTCTGAAGAGCTGTGAATTAGAGACAGATGCTCTGTTCCCCCCACACCCAAATTACGATAGCGATACAGGGATAGGATAACGTCAATACTCTTCTTGTTAAACTAGATCCCGTTTTCTCCTCAGTCACTTCACGCATATGACCTGACAGGCAGAGCATTACACTCAGAAGGCTTTTAGCCCCACCCCTGTGGTGAGACTTCAGACAAGTTGCTTTATTTCTCTGTGTCTCATTTTCCACATATCATGAAATAAGACTGATAAATCCCTTCGAGAGCAATTCCAGCTCTCATTCTGATTCTATGAAATGCCAAAATAATACAATTTGTACGTGAGCAGATGTGAATCAATGTGCATAATCCAAGTAATTCTACAAGTAGAAAACATTACTAAATGAAGGGGAAAAAATAACAAAATAATTTCTTGTTGTGAAGTAGGAACTTAGTGAATCAATCTCGCCACTAGAGGTCAGTAGTATACCATCACAGAGAATGTATGTGCTCAAGTCACTAGTAGTTCCCTATCAACTGCACAAAGGAGCCCTGGTGGTGCAGTGGTTTAAGCACTCAGCTGCTAACTGAAAGGTTCGAACCCACCAGCTGCTTTGTGGGAGAAAGATGTGGAAATCTGCTTCTGTAAAGATTACAGCCTTGGAAACCCTATGGGACAGTTCTACTCTATCCTATAGGGTTGCTAGGAGTCGGAATTGACTCCATGGCAGTGGGTTTGAGGGTTTTGGTTTTATTGACTGCCCCTAAATGGTATTCATGGCATCCTTCAGTTTATTCTGAATATCTCCTGACAGTTGTCAGAAGCATATGAGATGACAACAGTTGTGACTCTAGGTGATGTTCCGTGAGTGCCTCACATCCTTTAAGTGTGAAGAGCCACGACCAGAACAATAAGGTAAATTACTTATTTGGCTTTCCTGCCCTCTCACTGGGATGTGATACGGGACATTGAGATAATCTGAGAGAAGATAATGTGAGTTATGAGGTGAAAAGTCACTATAGAAATCTGGATTTTAGCCTCTAGTGCAGCACAGACATGTCTGCTTCTTATGACATAGAAAAGTGAGGACCCGGAGTGGAGCATTCATTCATTCATTTAACCAGTATTTACAGACAGACATTCGGGCACTGTGCTTGGCAATGGGGCTACATTAATGAAGAAGATATGGTTGCTGCTCTCAAGGAATTTAAGAAATAAGTTATAGGGAGGTTTTTATTCAGATTCGCTTAGTATTTACAGACTGCCATGCCAGGCAGCTTTCCCTTGGATTTTCCTATTTCATCTTCCCAAAAGACAGCAGGGCAGGTACTGTAATTCCCTGTTCTGTAGAAGAACACTTCTAAAAAAGCGGCTTTTTCAGGTGGTGCCACTTGTAAGTGACAGAGCTAGGAGTTGAGTACAGACCTAGGACATCAAATCCAAAACGGAGCCAGAGACACTTGCATGAACATTCTAGAATGCTACATTGGGCAAGGGCCAATGGTGTTTGATGAAAATGTATTTTAATATAAAACTCTCTGAATGGGAGAAAAAACGCTTTCAGTGAAATTAGTGCTTTGAAACATAAAGATCCCTAGAGATTTCCTGTGAAGAAAATTCTGAGAGTAAGGAGTTTTTTTCAGATTGGACCCCGGAATACCTCTGAAGGGCATATCAATTTTCTCCTAAAATGAAAGTGACATTATATCTCGTAATTTGCTTTGATTGGTACATAAAGAAAATCTACTTCAAATTGCAGAACCCCCAACTCTGTCACCAAGGATGAGTAGCAACGGTTCTGGGCTCTTTGGGTAAATTGCGGAGATACTGCTTCTACAGGTTTAAGGGGACTTGAGCTGATTAAACTGGTTGTCAACAGCCGTTAGACCAAACACAGCACGCAGAGAGGCCATTTCTGAGCAGGACACAGGCAGGGCCCCTATCACTAAGGAGCAAGATTTTCTCTACATTTCTGTCGTCACTCGAGAAGGAGGTACAAAGGAATCCTGGCCAGATCTCTGCTTCAGCATACAAAAGCTGGGACCTGCTTTTGCTGTGATGAGTGTTACTAACAATCCTGGTAGTTACTGTTTTTAACCAATTATTTTAAAACATAAACTACAGGCAGGCTTGTCCTTATTTATGATGGTTGCAAAACATGATCAACTAGCAAGAAAAGAAAGGGGCGGGGTGTGGAGTAGAGAGCCGCAAATACTACTTGACTTAGTCAATAAATATCAATTATTTACTATCGTACCAGTGACTTCTATTGCTTCTTCTTCAGTCTCCAGCTAGTGTAGTTCTCTTCCTTATTGACCCTTAGGCATCCCACCAACACTTTCTGATGTACTGGGCTGTTTTAGTGCACCTGAGAAATTTCATTTGAGATATTGTATAAGGAAAGAGGAAGAGAAATAGATATCCATCACAAAAATTAAAGATTATGCAAGTTAGAGACTTGGGGGAGAGGCATTCCACCATGGGTCCTGAGTGTCCCTGCATACTCTTGTTGGTATGACAAGAGTACAAGGTCCTGACCCAGCCTTTTCCTGGGCCATTTCTTAGGGAGTGTGTCTTAGTTATATAGTGTTGCTATAACAAGTAACACAACTGGATGGCTTTAACAAAGAGAATTTTATTCTCTCACAGTTTAGGAGGCTAGAAGTCCAAATTCAGGGTGCCAGCTCCAGGGGAAGGCTTTCTCTTTCTGTCAACTCTGAGGGAAGGTCCCTGTCATTAATCTTCCCCTGGTCTAGGAGCTTCTCAACCAGGTACCCCAGGTCCAAAGGATGCACTCCGCTCCTGGCTCTTCTTGCATGGTGACAACGAGGTCCCTCTCCTCTCTGCTCAATTCTCTCTTTTATATCTCAAAAGAGATTGATTCAAGATACAACCTAATCCTGTAGATTGAGTCCTGCCTCATTAACATAACTGCCTCTAATCCTGCGCCATTAACATCATAGAAGTTAGGATTTACAACACATATGATAACCACATCAGATGGTGGACAATCACACAGTACTGGGAATCATGGCCTAGCCAAGTTGACACACATTTTGGAGGGACACAATGCAATCCATAACAGTGTGTTTGCAGTAAATAACTTTAAGGGATAAGATAATGCTTCCCCCTGGACAAAAAGTAAGCTTGCTTCTGCTTGCTATGAAAGCAATAGATTACCCAAGCTCAGTGTTTATCTCCTGTAGTGCAACCCAGTGTGTGTGCAGGCATCTATCTGAGCCCTCCACATTAACCCTGTGGGACTTGGGGTTAACAGATACAAACCAGCACGAAGCTCATGCTGCTGGTAAATCTTAATAGTCTTTGATCCAGTCATCTCATGTCTTCTGCCAACATTCATGGAACAGTAGCAGGCTAACTTGTCAGCTTGTAAGTAGCGTAAAGGAGCCCCTGGGTGGTGTGAATTGTTAACACACCTGGTGGCTAACCAAAAGGTTAGAGTTTCCCGTCCACCCAGAGGAACTTCAGAAGAAAGTCCTGGTGATCTGCTTCTGAAAAATTAGCCATTGAAAACCCTATGGAGCACAGGTCTACTCTAATACATGTGGGGTTGTCATGAGTTGTAATCCACTGAACTGCAACTTTTTTTTTAAGTACCGTAAAACACCAGATCTTGATAAACCCTGACAGAATAACTCTCCCAAGTTGATTATTTTTAGCACAAATGTTACCAGGGAAACAGAAAACTATGAGGATTATGCTTATGTGTTGAAATTAAAAAAATCCATTAGCAGCCTAGCATTTTAGAGCCTTGCTAGCAACTCCTGTGCATTGTTTTATAAAACGTTAGTCATTGCCGTAACTCTGACTCCTATGCCCTTTAAATAATGACCTTATATCTTATTGAAACAGAATCCCCTTTATGCTTCCAGGTCCCTAATGATTAGTCGTGACTGTAAAGGCAGATTATTTTATAAAATTTCAGTGGAACATGTACCCAGCTGAAATGATTGATAATGGTAGATTAGTGTATAGAAGATCACAGAATCACAAACCATAAAAGCTGGAATGGAGTGGCTCATAGATAACTCACTCGGGAAACATGCTTTGAGAACCTATGCCAGGCATGATGCTAAGAGCTAGAGGGTTGGACACAATCAAACCCTCAAAGGTTGACTGTTAAATAAGAAGAATGATACACTAGAACTCAGTGGTAGTGTTACAAGCAGCCCTGGTGGCACAATGGTCAAGTGTTTGGCTGTCGGTGGTTTGAACTCACCAGCTGCTCTGTGGTAGAAAGATATGGCAGTCGGCTTCTGGCTGTTCTACTCTGTTCTAGAGGGTCAACTATAAGTCAGAACTGACTTGATGGCAACGGGTTTTTTTTTTGTTTGTTTGTTTTGTTTTTGTTTTGGTATTATTTGGTAAAGTCCTCAATTTTATGATGTTAGAGAAGCGGAATAATGCTATGTCAAGCCCTCATTTTAAGGAAATGGGGCCTATAGTAAAGTGACTCATCTCCCACAATCTTATGGATAATTTTACTAATTTTTGGATGCCCTACAGTATCTGGCTTATAATAGAAATGAAACTTATCAATGAGTAAATGAGTAAAGAATTGAATGAACAAATATAGGTTGAGCCAGAATTAGAACCCAGGTTTCTTCTTCCTCAAACCAACGCTTGTTGCGCTGTCAATAAATAAGGATTTTCCAAACCAGTCATCAGCATACCAACATTGCAATTTTTGCCACATCTTTCCACCACCTGTACTATCATTTAATTAAAATCTTTTTTTGAACTTAGCTTTATTCTAAGCATTACATCTGTGAATTGAAGGTTATGCGTCTTCTTCATAATTTTCTATTACATTAAAATAAATATATAACTATTTTTAAAAGCTCATCATGTACATCCAGAGGTATAAGCACCAATCTTGGGGAAAATACTAGTTTAGTCCAGAGAAAAATATGCATCAAGACTGCATAGAGTCATTCATACTTATTTTCATTTTTGTCATAAAGTTAAAAGCATGACTCCATAGAGACCCTGAATTCCTCCTCAATTCTTGTTTGAGAAACCCATCAAAAATACACTAGCAATTTCTTACCTTTCCATCTATATATTGAACAAATGAATGAAAATGACTCTGATTAAATTAGCCAACTATTGATTATGATCTTAAGACTATTATCTTATAATCTTAAGAAAAGTGTACGATAACAACTTTAATTTACCACATAGTAGTATGGTATAGTATTAACTCTAGTTTTGAAAACAAGTTTCAACGAGTGGGATACATTCTTTACTCACCAAATTCAGGACAGTGCTCATTCTCCAATGAATTCAATAACCTTTCAAGAGAAAAAAAAATAAGTAAAAAAAGAAAACATGAGTTCTTATTTAGGAATGAGATGAAAGAAATTTTGCAAATTAATGAGCTTAAAGTATCAGAGAACACACCTGGTTACACTTGAAAGTTATCAAAATGCCTACATTTAACATATTTCACTTTAAAATATCCACAGAATGTTTAGAACTCTCTAATTACTTAAGACAAGATTGAAGTTTTTATATGTACGATGAGTATGTCAGACTGGAACATCAAAATGATCTGGAAAGTTTTCAATTTTTTACTCATCATTTCTTCCCCATGTAATACATTACTTTGTAACAGTATTTTTCAATTTGGAGATCTCTCATTCTCTATGAAAAAAAAATAATTTTGTGCTTTTATTTCAATTGTTGTATCCAATCATTAATATGTGCATATTATGAATCACATGGATGATCATCTTACAAATATTTCTATGCAATTACAGTGGTTTCATTTTGAATATGAATGTTTATCTGATTCAGAAGAAGGGAATGTTTCGTGGCTGTCTTAGGCTGGGTTCTCTATAGGAGACAAACCAGTTAAGTGTATGTATGTAGATATATATGGAGAGATTTATCTCAAGGAAATGCTTTGTGTGGTTGTGAAGGCTGGCAAGTCCCAAATCCATGGGTCAGGAGTCAGGCTGGAGGCTTCTCCTGACTCACATGGCTACAGGGGCTGATGAACCCAAAGCTGGCAGGTCAAGCAGAAGATTGCTGGCTCACGGGGTTGTAGGGGCAAATCCTAAGACCTGCAGGTCAGGCGGAAGGCTGCTGGCTCAGGTCCAATGAACTGGAGGGTAGAGGATGACAACTCAGATGCAGGATCCAGAGCAAAAGCCGGTGAGCTTTGCCAGAAAATCCATATATATTGTATGCAGGCCACACCCCTGAGAAAACTCCCCTTAAAATTGATTGGCTGATCACATCAGAGCACATCATGGAGGTGATTACATTATATTACTTACAGAAAAACAATCAGTCCAATGTTGGCTAAACCACTGCCTTAGTTATCTAGTGCTGCTATAACAGAAAGTGGATGGCTTTAACAAACAGAAATTTATTCTCTCACAGTTTAGGAGGCTAGGAGTCTGAATTCGGGGTACCAGCTCCCAGGGAAGGCTTTCTCTCTCTGTCGGTTCTGGGGGAGGGTCCTTGTCATCAATCTTCCCCTGGTCTAGCAGCTTTTCAGCACAGGGACCCCAGGTCCAAAGGACATGCTCTGCTCCTGGCACTTCTTTCTTGGTGGTATGAGGTCCCTCTCTCTCTGCTTGCTTCTCTCTCCTTTTATCTCTTGTAAGATAAGAGGTGATGCAGGCCACACCCCAGGGAAAACCCCCTTACATCGGATAAGGGCTGTGACCTGAGTAAAGGTGTTGCATCCCACTCTAATCCTCTTTAACATAACCTAATCTTGCCTCATTAACCACAGGCAGAGATTAGGATTTACAACACATAAGAAAATTACATCAGATCACAAAATGGAGGCTAATAACGCAATACTAGAAATCATAGCCTAACCAAGGTGACACACATTTTTGGGGGATACAATTCAATCCATAATAACCACTGAGAATCAAAATCTAATCAAGTTGACATATAACATTAACCATCATATTTCACCCCTTGCCAACCTGGCACCTGCACACATCTCCTTAAACTATACATAATCTCTAAATAAAGATAATTATAAAGTCATACTTGGTACCTAACATTATACGACTAACACGCACACAACCAAAAACACACTAGCCTGTTTACATCTTATATTTTATAAGTAATGGGATAAGGGAGAGAAGAAAACAAAAATATTTGCTATATATATAATCACACACACATACACATATTATAAAACAAGGGAAAATACTTTTAACAATTACAGTCCTTGTTTCTGCAACTGATCACATGGTCATAGCAGGTATTTAGCACTACCTTCTTCCACCACCCATTCAGTATTCCCTTTGCCCTCAGCAAACACCTCAGCTGGTTGTGGTTCTTTGCCTGCTGGGATGACCCAAACCTTCATTCTTGAAGGGTCTGGGCCATAAGTAGTCATGTTGGAATTGGGTTGCTGTAGTTTTTCATTGACTTTGATCACAGGGCACGGTAGTACTAAGAGACACCCTAAGGGGTCTCCTGCATTTCAGACATACTCTTCTTTACCTCCTGTCTTAGTAATCTAGTACTGCTCTAACAGAAATACCACAAATGGATGGCTTTAACAAAGAGAAGTTTATTTCCTTACAGAAAAGTAGGCTGAAAGTCTAAATTCAGGGTGTCAGTTCCAGGGGAAGGCTTTCTCTCTCTGTCGGCCTTCTCATCAATCTTACCCCAGACTAGGAGCTTCTCTGCACAGGAATCTTGGGTTCAAAGGACATGGTCTGCTCCTGGCACTGCTTTCTTGGTGGTGTGAGGTCCCTAACTCTCTGCTTGCTTCCCTTTCCTTTTATCTCTTGTAACATAAAAGGTGGTGCAACCCACACCCCAGAGAAACTCCCTTTACATTGGATCAGGGATGTGACCTTAGTAACGGTGGTGTTATAATCTCACCCTAATCCTCTTTAACATAAAATTACAATCACAAAATGGAGGACAACCACAAAATACTGGGAATCATGGCCTAGTCAAATTGATACATATATTTTTTGGAGGACATAATTCAATCCATGACACCTCCCTTAGGTAATATCAATCCAATTTCCTCTTGGTAATCAGGATCAATCACACCAGCCAATATGGTAACTCCCTTCTTTGCCTGTTGATCCAGAGTCATAAGAAGCCCATAGTGGCCAGGAGGCATTCTTAGCTTCCAGTTCAATGGAATCAGTGATATGTCTCCAGGTAGGAGCATTCCTCCCTTTGGAACTAAGCTCTCTAGACTGCAGAGCATAGGGTCATGGGGACAGAAAGCAAAATTTTGCAAGTGGATCACTAGGGATAATAATGAATGGTGCCACTCCCATTTCCACCCCTTGATTGCTGGACCCATGAATCCTGGCTATGGGAGAAACAGCACCATATATTGGATGCTGGTTTAGAACATATACAGCCTCCTGGAGAAAATTGCCCCAAGCCTGCAAGACATTGTCACCTAGCTGGTGCTGTAATTGTGTGTTTAGAAGGGATTCCATCGTTCTATCAAGCCAGCTGCTTCAAGATGATGGGGAACATGGTAAGACCAGTGAATTCCATGAGCATGGGTCAATTGAAACACTTCATTTACTGTGAAGTGAGTCCCATGATCCAAGGCAATGCTGTGTGCAAAAACATGATGGTAGGTAAGGCATTCTGTAAGTCCATGGATGGTAAATTTGGCATAAGCACTGTGTGCAGGGAAGGCAAATCCATATACAGAGTAAGTGTCTATCCCAGTAAGAACAAAACACTGCCCTTTCCATGATGGAAGCAGTCCAATGTAATCAATCTGCCACCAGGTTGCTGGCTGATCACTGCAAGGGATGGTGCCATATTGGGGACTCAGTGTTGGTCTCTGCTGCTCACAGATTGGGCACTCAGCAGTGGCTGTAGCCAAGTTGGCCTTGGTGATTGGAAATCCATGTTGCTGTGTCCATGTATAACCTCCATCCCTGCCACCACGGCCACTTTGTTTCCGAGCCTGTTGGGCAATGATGGGAGTGGCTGGGAAAATTAGGATGAGTGGTTTCCACAGAATGCACCATCCTATCCCCTTGATTGTTAAAATCCTCCTCTGCATTCACATGAGACACAAATACCTTCACTTCTTTGGACCATTCAGAGAGTTCTATCCACATACCTCTTCCCCATACCTCCTTGTCACCAATTTTCCAATTATGTTCCTTACAAGTCCCTGACCACCCAATCAAGCCAATGGCTGCAGCCCATGAATCAGTATACAATCACATCTGGCCATTTTTCCTTTCAAGCAAAGTGAACAACCAAGTGCACTGTTCGAAGTTCTGCCCATTGGGAGAATTTCCTTTCACCACTATCCTTCAGGGAGGTCCCAGAAAGGGGCTATGGTGCTGCTCCTGTCCACTATTAAGTGGTGCCTATATATCTTGTAGAACCATCTGTACACTGGGCATGAGTTTTCTCTTCCTCCATCAACTGATCTTAAGGAACACTCCATGAGGTCTTAGGTACAGACTGGGACAGAGAAGGTAATGTGACAAATTGGCACCATGGACATTTGAGCCACACCCTCATGTAACTTACTTGTGTCTTCACGTCCTGCTTGAGCCCAATCTCGTATATACCACTTCCATTTAATGATGAAGTGCTGCTGTGTACGTCTGACTTCATGACTCTGTGGGTCAGACAACACCCAGTTCATGATAGGCAGCTCAAGCTGCATGGTGACTTGGTGGCCCATGGTTAAGTGATCAGTCTCTACTACGGCCCAGTAACAAGCCAAACACTGTTTCTCAAAATGAGAGAAATTATTTCCAGAGGATGACAGAGCTTTGCTCCAAAATTCTAAGGGTCTGAGCTGTGCTTCACCAGTAGGGGCCTGCCAAAGACTCCAAACAGCATCTCTATCTGCCACTGACACTTCAAGAACCATTGGATCAGCCAGATCAAGTGGCAGAGTGGCTTGCATGGTAGCCTGAACTAGTTGCAGAGCCTTCCCTTGTTCTGGTCCCTACTCAAAACTAGCAGCTTTTCAAGTCACTTGATAAATAGGCTGGAGTAGCACACCCAAATGAGGAATATGTTGCCTCCAAAAGCCAAAGAGGCCCATCAGGTGTTGTGCTTCCTTTGTAGTTATAGAAGGGACCAGATGTAACTAATTATTCTTCACTTTAGAAGGAATATCTCAACATGCCCCATACCACTGGACTCCTAGAAATTTCACTGGGGTGGAAAGGGCCTGAATTTTAGTCAGATTAATTTCCCACCCTGTAGTACACAAATGTCTTAACAGTAAGTCTAGAGTCATTGATACTTCTTCCTTACTATGTCCAATCAGTATAATGCATCAATGTAATAGACCAGTGTGATGTCTGTGGAAGTGAAAGGTGATCAAGGTCCCTTGGACTAAATTATGACATAGGGCTGGAGAGGTGATATACTTTGAGGTAGGATAGTGAAGGTGTATTGCTGGCCATGCCAGTTGAAGGCAAACTGTTTCTGGTGTTTCTTCAAAACCAGAATAGAGAAAAAGGCATTAGCCAGATTAATAGCTGCATACCAGGTACCAGGAGATGTATTAATTTTCTCAAGCAATGAAACCACATCTGGAACAGCAGCTGCAATTGGAGTCACCACCTGGTTAAGTTTATGATAATCCACTGTTATTCTCCAAGATTCATTTGTTTTTTTTTTTTGTTTTTTTTTTTGCACAGGGCAAATAGGTGAATTGAATGGAGATGTGGGGGGTATCACCACTCTGCATTCTTCAAATCCTTGATACCATCACTACCATCGAGTCAATTATGACTCATAGTGACCCTACAGGACAGAGTAGAACTGCCCCATAGGGTTTCCAAGGCTGTTATCTTTATGGAAGCAGACTGCCACATCTTTCTCCCATGGAGTGGCTGGTGGGTTCAGACCACTGACATTTAGGTTAGCAGCTGAGTGCTTTAACTGGGAACCACCAGGGTTCCTTCAAGTCCTTGATGGTGGCAGTAATCTCTGCAATCTCTCCGGGAAGATGGTGTTGCTTTGGTTTTCTATTTTCCTAGGTAGGGGTAGTTCTAATGGCTTCTGCTTGGCTTTTCCTACAATAATAGTCCTTACTCTACATTTCAGGGATTCAGTGTGGAGGTTCTTCCATTTGTTGTATCTATTCCAAGTATGCATTCTGGAACTGTGGAAATCACTACAGGATGGGCTCAGGGATTCACTAGACCCACTTCGAGACAGACCGAAGCTAAGACTCCATTAATAATCTGACCTCAATAGGCCCCTATTGTGACTGGTGGGCCACAGTGATGTTTTGGGTCTTCTGGAATTAGCGTCAGTTTAGAGTTAGTAATCCCCAAAAAGTCTGATTCATTTCATAAAAGGCCATAGATCCCTTTGGAGAAGGCTGGGTGAAAGATTAACAGTAAAATTTTTTGGCTGTGTAGTCGGGTTCTTCCTCAAGTAGATGTGCCTTCCCTCCATTCAAGGGGTTATGGATTTATAAACTGGCTAAGGTCTGGGAATTGACTGAGGGGCTGCAACTCTCTATTATGGCAATTCGAGTTAGACTGCCTTTCACTTGACCTAGAATTCTCCCGCTTGTACATATTAATATTTAGTAGATTTCCCATCTATTTCATTCCTAGGGACACCTTGACTAAGTAGCCAATGCCATAAGTCCATTCGAGTCAGACTATTCTGATTACTGTTTTGACTCCACTGTCCATTAGGTAACCACACCCATCTCATCTTTGTTGATTGACTGCAGCCACTTGGGCCCTACCACCACAGGGTGCAATCAGCCCCATTGTAGTTAGATGTCTTAATACAGTTAGGGCAGTGCCCACTGTCAAATCTGAGTTACATAAAATAGCAATCACAGCAGTATTCAGGGATGCTGGCGATCCCTTCACAAATTTGTTCCTCGTCGTGGTAAAAGATGTGTCCTCTGGGCACTCTATGTGTGGGTCTGTGGGTTTAACCTGATAGATCCACTCTAACATGCCAATTTCCCTAAGCCTTTGGATACCTTTTTCTACAGTATACCAAGGCAAGTCTGGCACTTCAACTTGATTTAGTGTAGGCCATCATGTAATCCATGCTTCAGTGAACCAACCAAATAAACTACATGTATTAGATCCTTTTCTAACTTCTCAAGCTAAAACACTGAATGAAGAATCTGTTCTTAGTGGGCCCATATCAATAAACTCAGACTGATCCAACTTTATGTTCCTTATACCATTATCCCACACCCTTAGTAGCCATTCCCACACCTACTCCCCAGATTTCTGTTTGCATATATTAGAAAAATCAAGAGGTTCTTTTGGAGTGTAATGTACTTCCTCCTGGGTCACACTTTATACTTCACTATTTGGGGCTCACTGGGCCTTAAGTCTAGTTATAGGTCTAGAAGCAAAAAACAGGTGGTGGTGATGGGTCCTGGGGACATTTAGCAAAGTCTTGTATGGCATGTGCCTCAGGTGATGCCTCAGAAAACACCCAGGAGCTGCCCCAGGTAATATCACAGACAAAGACTCTTCAGGCACAGCTGGGTTAATCTCCTTAGATGGGGTGGAAGGGATAATGGTTTTACTTGGGAGGATGGCTTAGCAGAAAATGATAAAGTAATCTGTTCAGATGGGAGTTAAGAAGGCTGGTTTTATCAGCAGGAGTAATTCCATGGAATTTAGGGGCTCAGTGTCCCAGATTCCTGATAATCTGGCCAAAAGTTATCCTGGTACATAGCACTGTTGCTGGAAGGTTTTATAATAATTCATGTAGGAAAAAGTGATAGGAGAATGGCTCCCAGTATAGGCATATTGAACTCTGGCCGTCAGCAACCTGTTCATTTTGTGAGTGAAAATGCAGTTTCACCAAAACATCACCATTTTCACATTAAATTGATGCTGCTAATTTAAACGTTATTAATTTTTGTAGGTTATCCGGCTGTTTTCTCATTGTTAAGTTGGGAACGACATTCATTGGCAGCTTTCTGCATCCTGAGACTAAGTGGGTGTTACTTGGCACACTACATTAAAAGATCACTCTTGTTACTGTGTGGAGAATAGCCTGGAGCGGGTAGTGGCAGGGAGAGGAGTCAGAAAACTATTTCAGTAACCCAGATCCCAAAGAGAATAGTGGCTTGGACCAGAGTGTATGGAGTGGAGATGGTGAGTGATTGTCAAATTTTGGATATACTTTCCAGCATCAGCAGGGCTTACTGTTGAATTGGATGCGGTATATGAGAGAAAGAAGAGTCAAGGATTATGCCAAGGTGTTTGGTCTAAGCAACTGGAAAGATAGGGTTGCCATTTACTGAGATAAAGAAGATTGTGAGAAAAGCAGGTTTGGGGTATGTGTATGGAATAATAAGTTTGTTTTTTTAAATCATTGTGTTTGGCATGCCTAGGAGAGACACAAGTGGGATGTTGAGGAGGCAGTTAGCTATACTAGTCTAGGGCCTAAGTGGAAGATCCATGTTGGAGATATAAATGATAGAGGTGACAGCATATACATGGTGATTAATGCCATTCAATGATTGGATAAGGTTACATAGTGAGTATGAATAGAGAAGAGGTCTGTGGACTCAGCCCTTCCATTCTCTGACATATAAATATTATGCAGTTAAGGAGAAAAGGAGACTAGAAAGGAGCAGCAGTGCTGGAGGAGTATCTACATGAATCCAATTCTTCGACTTGGAAGGAAATAAAAAGCAGGAAATGGTAAATTAATTTGCCTTTCAATTCTTTCATAATAATTTTCTAGGACACTGATTGTCAGTGCAAATAAATAAAGGCATATATTCCTTAGACAAAAGTACAATAAAATTAGAAATAAATAACAAGCAAAAAGCACCTAAACAAGTAAAAACTTGACTTTGATAGTGCCATGACCAAAAAGAAATTTTTGGGGTCAGTTCTCAGTCCTGATCTTACTTAACAGATCAACAGTATTTGACACAGTTGAGCTTTTCATCATAATTTATCTTTTCTATGGCCAATGAACAAAGTTATTGTACCAATTTACACTCCCAATAGCAACAATAGTTCTGCTTCCCCACATCCTTACCAACACTTATTCTGTATCAGACACATTTATTGTATACTTACAGGCGCCTTCTTTCCCAGTTTCCTGTTTGTTGATCCTTGTGTCAATACCACGTGTTTTAAGAGTTGCTTTTAATAGTTTCTCTTGGTTTTTGGTGTTCTGCAGTTTCACCACGATGTGTCTACATATGGAAATCTTCACATTAATCTTGCTCAACAATAAGTGCTTCTTGAATCTGAGGATTTAAATATTCCACCAGTCCTGGAAAATTCTTTGAACCCTGCGCAATTCTCTCTGGTTTCTCTTTTTGGCATTTCTGTTAGACTAATGTTAGACTTTTCTTATTTTCCATTTATTTATCTCCTGCATCGCATTCTAGCAAATTTCCTCAAGCTGTGCATTGCAGTTCCAGCCAAACATACAGCTCTCAGACACTGAATGGAAGAGTTTTCTTTTTTCAGTGTAGCCCTTAAAAGGATTAAGGCTATATGCCAGCAAATTGTGACAGAAGTAAAATGTAAAGAAACAGGTAGACATAAGGCTAACCCCTACAGCTGAGAATGTACGTGCCAAAATCAAAACACGTATCTCTGCTGGTGTCACAACAAGCAGGATGCTGCTACGTGCCAAGTGCTAGATATCTATGAACAGTGTCAAGCAAGACCACATTTTCATCCCAAAACCTGGCATATAGCATTTGTACTGAAGGTTTGACCTTGAGCAAGAAATTTATTTTTCTCTAAGCTTCAGTTTCTTTCTTGGGTTGCTGTGAGGGTCAAATGGGATGAGGTGAGCAAAAGCACTATACCAAAGTGCTATTGAGGTATTTTCTCAATTCTAAAATATCATTGTCAGGCGCACTATATAGATTTAATAATAGTTTGAGGGAGGAAGGGAGAACATTCCACTAGACGTACACTTTATGAGCATTCCGATTTGGGAAATAAAAAAAAGGGAAAGTCTGCTTTTAGAATTGAGGAACAAAAATACTGTGTTGGCTTTCTTTCTCTCTTCAGTCCACTAATGCCCTTTTCTTAAATTTGAATGATTTTTCCCTCGCCTAGCGTTTGGCTATACCGACCTCCTTCCTGACAACAGCCAGGATTATGCGTTCGCAATTTCTTACCCCAATTTTCAAACTCCGGCTGAGACTAAACAGCTGCCTCGCCTGGACTGGCTTTCACACGCTGAACTTCGCCTCCGTACCTTCATTGGCTATTGCTCTTCTAGGACACGCCCACTCTTTCCCCGCCCACAAATACCTCAATCCTGATTGGATGACAGTGTCCTTTCTGTTACGGCAAAAGATAGATCGGGTGTTTTGAGAGAGGAGGGTTGGGGCGCCAGTCGGCTAGTGCGCAGGCGTACATTCCGAGTGAGGATTGGCTGGCAGTTGGCCGGGTCGAGGCGGGACTTTTCTCTTAGCGCACGCTCCGTGGGCGGAGGAGGCGGAGCTGCCGGTGTCAGTTGGTCCAAGTGTCCGGGCCTGAGGCATCCTCCCAATCCCTCCTCCTCCGGGCGCCTCTTACGGCAGGTAAGGGCTGCCCCGGGCTAGGGCGACTGGAATTGCGGTCTCGGTGCCGGCGAGGGCCGGAGGGCGGGGCGGGCGGGACGCGGGCGGGCGGTGCACGAGGGCCGGGAGAGCGGCCTTGGGCTGGGCAGTGGGTGGGTGGGCGGCGAGGCCTGGCTGCCTGCAGATGCCCTCGGCCACCTTCCTTTTCTCATCTCCTAGTTGTCGGCCCCAGGGGTTCATGTGGGGCGGGACTGCCCTGGCCTCAGACGCAGACACCCTGCCGCCTTCTCCCGCTGTCTTGGGGGAGGCCGCTGCCCAAGCCCCCCGCCCTGGAATGGGACCGTGGGAGGGGCGTTTGGGTGAGACTTGCCCTAGCTACGGTGCCGAGATCCCGGGTTGGGGAGTAGCGGGGGAAGAGGAGGGCGAGGCGGAGAGACAGACGAGTGAGCCGTATTGAGTGCTCGGACCTTTCCAGGCGCTGACAGCAGCACCCGGGTTTGTTTTACCATTGGCTTCTCTCAAGAGTCCTGCTGAACAAGTTTGGGGTGTATGTGTGTGTGTGTTAAGGATTGGGGAAGAAAAGGCTGCTTAAGGCAAGGAAGGCTTCTGTTATTCAATGTATCAGTCTCACTAGTACTATGACATAACGACATTAAGATATGCCAGGTGTTCCCAACCGGGTCTCTCTCCTGAGGACCTATAGCTATGCCTATATATCCTTGTGCCTGTGCTCCTCACTGACAAAACTCAACATAGCTAGCCCCTCTCTGGGGATCTATCTTGAGTTCAGATCTTGATTTGGTCAATTTCTTGATCTTGTGGAATTTGCAACGGCATTTATCTAACCAGAACCAAGTTAAAACATTGAGTTTGAGTGAATCTTGAGCAAAGTCGGTGCAGCTTAAAGGGAATGAAATTTGTCTTTGGCATCAGGGGTTGCAGAATATTTGGCAAACTTTGTTGTTGTTGTGGGGTGACGTTGAGTCGTTTTCGACTCTTAGCAACCCCATGTGACACAGCAGAACTACCCCATAGGGTTTTCTTGGCTGTGATTTTTATAGCTCAAAGGTTAAGTGCTACCAAAAGGTTGGCAGTTCATACCCACCAGCCCTTGGTGGGAGGAAGGCCTGGTGATTTGCTCCTGTAAAGATTACAGCCTGGAAAACTCTATGAGGCAGTTCTACTGTTACATGAGGTCACTATGAGTCAAAAACAACTCAGTAGCACCTAACAACAATAATCTTTACAGAAGGGGATCTCCAGGTCTTTCTCCCGCAGAGCCGCTGGGTGGGTTCAGATCACCCACCTTTCAGTTAGCAGCCTAGTGCTTAGTCATTGTGCCACCAGAGCTCCATAAACTTTGATTAGGGCCATATTAAAGTTTCTTCCATTATTTAATGGAAAAAGCAGGGACTTTGAAGTTAGACCTGGGCTCAGATTCTTGGTACAGACATTGGCTGTGAAACCTGAGACAAGATATCTAGCCTTTCTGAGATTTAGTGTCCATGACTGTAAGTTGCAATGTTCTGTGGATTTGATGACATAATATAGCTAAAGCATTTAGTACATTAATGCACAAAGATATTTCAGTAGTTTTACTAGTCCCTTAGTAAATAGATGACAGATGATGGTAGATTATAGATGAATATCTGTTTCAGATGCAGAAAAGTTTGGTGGTTTAGGCTGGGCACATATCAAGGAAAAGTCTCAAAACTTCAAGCCTAATGTGTGAGCATAGCTGTGATGGAATGGTGGAAAAACTCAACTGGGACATTGGCTGTAGTCTTTGCTCTGTTGATAATTAGTTCTGTGATCTTGGGTAAACCATTCTCATCTTCGGCCTTGGTTTCTTTATTTGTAAAATGAAGCAGCTAGACAGATGATTTTTCCAAAGCTCTTTGTGTGGCCTGAATTGTTTAAGCTAAAAGGTAGGGAAAATAATAACATTTATTGAATACCTACTACCATATTTTTATGCAAATAACAATTGCATTATACCTTTTTTTGCCAACACATTATTTTCCTAGGCGCGCTATGCAAGTTGTATGTGTGGGCATGTTATTTGCAGAAAAATGCAGTATGTACAGATACTGTTCCAAGTGTATTTGTGTATCAACTCATTAAATTCTCACAACACCCGCACTAGGTACATTCTGTTATTTTTCCCCCTTTACAGATAAAGAAACTGAGGCTGAGATGTTAACCTTATCTGGGGTTTCAGAGCTTATAAATGGCAGAGGTAGGATTTGAATTCAGGCAAAGTTCATGTTCCTATTCACTGTGCTAAACTTCCTCTTGAAAAAGAGGGATGTTGTGATACTATTAGAGATGTAGAGGTATATTTGGTTCAGATGATAGTCTTTGGTCACAGTTAGGTGTGTGGGCACAGAAAAGATTATTTATTTAATTAAATGGATCTTGTCCTAATGCTTTCTATACCTCCTGATCCTTGTTCTTGACCTTCTGTCTGGTTCCTGGACTTAAATTATCAAAATAATTCTGGATTCTCTTCTACTGACCAAGATTGGATGAGGATAGGCACCCACATTTACTGTGATTTTTGAGAAATTTTGTGAGATCTGACCTAGGCTTGGATTAAAGTTGAAGTATCTCAGAGACTCATGTCCATTTCAGAGCTAAGGCAGGAGCAGGCTGGATAGATCCGGCTTGGACTGAGCGGAGCCTCAGCACCCTGCATTTGTTTCAGTGTTGTGACACTTGAGGTGCTTTGGATTAGATTGTCTCTCTTTTCATATCAGATTTCCATGTATGTGTAGGAATGAGAAGAGTTTAAAATGAACTCATAAGAGCACATTTGACATGGAATTGGATTGATTGATAGCAAGTATAGGTAAAGAAGGATTTTATAGTCGGAAAAATCAGTCTTGTATTGAGTACATAATTATGATGTGGTGCTGTGGTAGTGTGTGGTAATATTTTAGGTTATACCTTGCAGTTTAAGGATTGATTCTATTTTGAAAGAAAATAAAATCCACGCCTAAAATACTTTGACACAGAGATCTCAACAAACCTTTTGATCCCAGTATATGTCAGCTTGTTACTCTAAAATCTACTGAAATACTTTGAATATACACAGTAGTACAGTTTTTGAGGTCATTCTATTTACTTACATCTCAGTAGGAGAAAATTGCTACTTCTTGTTGTGGAGAGGCAGCAGGTAATGCTCTGGTCCACTTTATTAAAAAGTAAAGCCTTTTGCACGGGGCTGGGATATACAGGTGGGCAGGTTTTGCATTGTACGACCCTTGGTTGCATCTTTTGCACAGACTATGTATGATGTGAATGGTGCTGCCTAGGTTGTGTGGTATAGCCTGTAGGACTGTCCTGGTGGCCCTGCCTTTGTCCTGTCAATCCCAACTGTGTTTTTCTTAGAGCAGTTTTTCCTAAAGGCCTCTTCTCCCTTGTTTCTGCTCTTTTTTTTTCATCTTTTTTATGTCAGATGAAGTCAAACTGTTGATAAGCTATGTATAGATTTTCTGTTTGAGCCAAACAATGTGGCCAGAATTTCAGAACCTGGCTTCTTTTTCTTTATTCTCTGAAATGATCGGTCTGAAACACTTGTGCATTTGTAGAATACTTTTTGGTTTAATTTTAATGTTAGAAAGAAACATAACCAAAATAAATATATCCCATCCCCATACTATATCTGATTTCAAAATCACTTGTATTTGATTTCATGATTATCTGTTGCTTTGGCTTGTATACCTTAAAATTCTTCTCAGCTATTATGAAAATTGTTTCAGCTGTATTCTTTAAAAAAAACCCAGGATATTAGAAACGCTAAGCTCTTTTTATCAAAAGTTAGCTGTACAGGGGAAATGAGCAAGTTGCAGTCCACGGTGGCTGAGTCCTCCTGAAGTTACTTTTGATTGTGACTGTTGCCTCTGCCATCTCTCCCAGCCCTCCTTCAGCCAGATCAGTGGTTGAAATGGTGTGAAAAGTGAGGGTGACTGGGCCTTGTTAGAAATGTGCATCTCTGAGGGAAATGTCAAATCAAGTCTTCTCTGCTAACATTCTTCCTCTTCTAATATAAGAGATTGAATGGAGAGGAATAATTTTCCAAGTGTGATCTTCAAATACCAGAATCAGTTGAATAACTTAGCAAAAAAAGAGAACTTTTGAAAGAATGTGTACCAGTCAGTCTATTTGGATTTACATGGATATACTAAGATATACTATTTTTGAAGTACACAGAACCGTATGAAAAAGAAGTGGGAGAGAGCAGCTGTAATGCCGGATGAGTGGTCGCGATTCTAGTTTCTAGTATACAGATATCCTTGCTCAGTAGGTCTGGGTTTCACTGTTTAGCATATGGAAAAATAATACCTAGGGTGTAGTAGGTACTCAGTAAATACTTGTTGAAAGAATAACACCATAGACAAAACAGGTCTAGGTTGCTTCAGTGTAGTAGATTAGTTAACAGATCTGTTTTTGGTAGTAGTCTGGTAGCATTATTTAATGTATTTTGAGCACTTTGAAGGTGAAATGAATGTTATCAGTAGAGCAGAACATGTTTCCCAGGAATTTTGTGGTCTGATATTTCGGAGCCTTTTATCCAAACAATGGTATGTTAATATTTTACTTATTTACAATGCAATTAATCTGTTTTGGTTTAACTATAACCAAGAGGTGACATGTAGAAAACTTTCATTTATTTCATATTAGTGTTTTAGATACATAGTATTTTTCTTTTGAATTGACTGGACAGCAACGGGTTTGGTTTTTTTGGTAAATAGTGTATGTAAAACAATACTTTAATGATGAAGAGTATTTTGAAAAAGATTGGTCTTCATCTTTAATATAAGAACTTTTTCATTTTGCTGTGTTTTTCTTATCCATGTTTATGCATCTTTTACATAATTTACATCAGTAAATACACAGTTTCATAAACATTCTTGCATGTTGTTGTAGTCATGATGATTATTTTTAGTAGCCACTCCATTAGAAATTACAATTATAATTTAGCAGAATCTGAATGGACAGTTATGTTGTTTCCAATGTATTGGGTTGTAAATAAGGTTGATTTGAACATTTTTATGTATGTCACTTTTTCCTTTATTGTAATTGTCCTTAGGCTAAATTTCCAAGAGTAAAATTACTTGGTAGAAGAGATTTAAATGTTTTTATGAATCTTATTATTTCTGCTTTCCAAAAAGAATACGTATTTAAAATTTGTATCCAATATCTGTGTATTTGTTTTTCTAAAACCTTACTAGTATTAATCATTCTCTTGCCTTTTTAAAAAACAATTTAATAGATGTACCAAACCAAACCAAAGCCGTTGCTGTTGAGTCGATTCCGACTCATAGCGACCCTATAGGACAGAATAGAACTGCCCCATAGGGTTTCCAAGGAGTGGCTGGTGGATTTGAACTGCCAACCTTTTGGTTAGTGTAGCTCTTAACCCTTGCGCCACCAGGGCTCCTAATATATGTACAGTGGTAACTCATTTTATTATTATTTTTTTTTATTACCGAGGAACTCAACATATTCTATTGTTTATTAACATACTTTTCTTTGTAAATTATTTATACATACCTTTGCTAGTGGATAAAGAGCCCTGGTGGTGCAGTGGTTGAAGTGCTCAGCTGCTAACCGGAAGGTCAGCGGTTCAAACCCACCAGCTACCCGAGGGAGAAAGACGTGGCAGTCTGCTTCTGTAAAGATTACAGTCTTGGGAACCCTATGGGACAGTTCTGCTCTGTCCTATAGGGTTGCTATGAGTTGGAATCTACTCAGTGGCAGTGCATTTGGTTTTGGGTTGATTGCTGTTGGATATTTATTTTATTCTTAGAAACAGTAAAGCATGTGATAAGGAGCCTATTAGGTCACATAATTTAATTAAATCGTCTTTTGAAAAAGCATTTGTGTTGCTATATGTGTTTATATTTCTAATTTTTTCCCCATTGCAGACCATTCATCAATAATTTTATATCCAAGGCCCAAAAGTTTGTTACCCAGGATGATGAATGCTGACATGGATGGTAGGTTTTTCATTTCCTTCTGGTGCATTCCTGGTTTTGTGGGTGATTTTGCAATGGAAAGAACAGAGAGGCAATTATTAGACTTGTATCTTGGCTAATTTATTTATATTCTGTCTAGTTCTAGAAAGGATCTAAAGCCCCTTTCATGTAACTTAACTGTGAGATTTTGGAACTCGTCTGCCTTGGTGTCCTCATCTGCAATGTGGGAATATACTTTTTTTACTTCACAAAAGCTTTTGTATAAGTAAGATAATATAAAGCATCTTGCAGATTTTTAAGCACTAAGCTACACAAAAGGTACCTAATGTTAACAATAAATTTGAACCTCTTTTTATTACAGCAGTTGATGCTGAAAATCAGGTGGAACTGGAGGAAAAAACACGACTTATTAATCAAGTGTTAGAACTCCAACACACACTTGAAGGTGAGCTTGCATTTTGTGGTTTTCGTGAGTGACATCCCATTAATTGAAATCAGCATTTCTGTTGCTAACTTTTATGTTAATATACACAATTTTTTAAAGTGTGAACTTCAAAGTCCACCTCAAGAGTTTTTTCCTGCTCCTCCCTCCTGCCTGTGGTGTTGGCTGGTGTTTTTAAAGAAGAGAGATGGTTCAGCAAGAGACCTCTTTAAGGTCTCTCTTGTTTTTCTTTCAATAACTGACATAATGCTGTTTTGTACACGAGAGCCTGTTTTTAAGCCTTTGCATTGTATTACTAAAGTCCACATTAATAAAGCTTATATTAAAATAATGTATTAACCTCATAGAGATTAAAAGGGAATTAATCTGAGTTTTTTCATTTTCTAAATGTCTTGTATAAAATTAATACTGTCACTGAAACATCTTTTTTTAATGAAATTAAGAAGCTGTGTTTTGGGGTTTTTTGGAGCCAGAGTAAGCAGATCATGGCACTCAGAACCCTCCAGTGGCTTCCCATTTACACAGAGTTAATAACAGCCAAAGTTCTTCCATGGGCCGACATCTTTGACTTCTCTGTTACTGTTCAGGGTCTTGTCACTCTCTCCCTCATAAATTCCACCTCAGACACACTTACCTCCTTGCTGTTCCTTCAAGGTGCCAACAATGCTTCTATTCAGGGCCTTCGCAGTTGCTGTTCCCCCTGCCTGAATCTTCTTCCCTTAGTCATCTGCATATCTACATGCCTCAATTCCCTCACTTCATTTAGGTCTCTGGTCAAACTCCCCTTATCAGAAAAGCTATCCCTGACTATACTGTATAAAAGAACAACTTCCCTTCCACTATCACTCTTACCCTCCTTGCCTTTTCTCCAGACCCACTCATCACAGTATGCTACATATTTACTTGTTTAATGCCTGCTCCTGACCTGCACTGTGCAACCCCTGTATGCACACATGCATGCATGTTAGAACGTAAGCTCTGTGAGGGCAGTGGCCTTTCTTGTTCACTGTTGAACCTTCAGCATCTAGAACAGGGCCTGGCTCTTAGAGGGTACTCAGTACATATTTGGGAAATGAATGAATAGAGGTAATTTTTTAATTTGATTATCAGGAACTGTGCCTCTTTAATTTCTGGCTTATAAAAATACAAAATGATTAGTTGCTTGGAAGCTGACTGCCTATATCCAGTTTATGAAATCCGTTGTGTTCACCTATACATTTTCTTAAACATTTATAGTAAAGCCCAGAATTCATGTTTTAAAAACAAGTGTTCTTTTTTAAAAAACTGAGTTAACTACTCAACATAAATGCTGTTTACAAAGAGTAACGTTTAGTTTAATGTGAAATACATTCAACTTGCCAAAAACTGTTTTTAGAAATTGTCTGATTTGCACTCAGTTTACTTCGTTTACCTTAACTTTGCTATAGCAGTCTTAATTTAAAAACAAAATTTAAGGGTTTTGGTATCTCCCTGAAGAATGAATTGTAAAAAACATTTGATAATATGAAGTCATTGCCATTATTTTACTGTTAATGAACTTTTTTTTTTAAATATAGATCTGTCTGCAAGAGTTGATGCAGTTAAGGAAGAAAATCTGAAGCTAAAATCAGAAAACCAAGTTCTTGGACAATATATAGAAAACCTCATGTCAGCTTCTAGTGTTTTTCAAACAACTGACACAAAAAGCAAAAGAAAATAAGGGTTGATCTCCTCTGTGTTTTATGGAATTGCTGCTGGTTTTTTTTTCTTTAAAACCTGGATAGATTCCAAAAGTTACAGTACTTTTGTTTGTGGCTTCACTGAATATTTACGAAGATAATGGCAGATCTAGAGCACTAAGAGCATAACAAGAGACTTCTCTGAGTTTGTGTATTATGTTAGTCTATGAAAATGTGCAAATGTACTTTATAATTAGAATTGCATATATTTATGAAAACTTGAAAATGTTTTATCAGATTTGCTTTGATTTTAGTTTAGCAGTGTTTTTTATTGTAAGCGTAGTAAAAGATGATACAAGAAAGTAACTACCATGTTGTGAAAGTGACCAAAATCATGTACGGAATGCACAGCTTTGTATGTTCCCTGTCCACCATCTTGTGCCTCTTTTCCATTTGCCTCTTCTTTCCCATTCCCGTTCCTCTTAGGAAGAAAAATGTTGGTTTCATATTTGTAAAAGTAATTTTAAAAGTTAATCATTTATGAATAACCTGAACTCATTGTTGAAACTTAAAATAACTTTCTCAGCTAAGGCCTGTCACAGGTTACATTTAGTAATAAGATAGGACTGTTGATTTTTCTTTTAATACATTGAAAACAGGCTATAAAAATGAAGATTGTTCCTTGAAACTATGAATTTTCAAATTGGGAAAATTTGTTATTCAATACTTCCTTCTACACAAAATGACCAACTTGGTATCTGAAAAAAAAATGGGCTCTGGTTGTGTGTGTTTAAAATAGGAAATCTTGGGTAAAATGGAAATACGCTGGGAAAAATATTTGGTAAACAGTAGTAACCAACTCCAAATGTTTTCGTTCCAAATTTGTGTTGTCATCTCCGCAGATTAGGTCTCACTGGGTTAACATATATGAAAGTGGATTAAGTCTGACTATCTTAGTGTAGGAAACCCTGGGGCATGGTGGTTAAGAGCTACGACTGCTAACTAAAAGGTCTGCAGTTCGAATCCACCAGGTGCTCCTTGGAAACCCTATGGGGCAGTTCTACTCTGTCCAATAGGGTCGCTATGAGTCGGAATCGACTTGATGGCAATGTTTTTTTTTTAATCTTAATGTAAACCACATCTGGAAGACAGCAGTTACAAAGAGTTTGGGCTCTTAAGGTTTATTTATAGCACCCAGAAGATTGTCTTTTGCAGAAACCCTTAAGAGTTTATTAGTATCAGAATCATGAAGAAAATGGGAAAGTTTTTCATGTGTACTAATCGATAATCTTCCTCAGTCTTTTATCTCACCACTTCTTCCAGAATTATCTGTAAATCTGACTATAGAGTTCTAGGCATCCTTTTACTAAACAGTTTTTTAAAATTCAGTTGTAGGTTCCATTTTAAAAGGGAATCTATCAGAAGTAATGTTAAAAGGGAGGAAGAGAGATCCACTAATACAGTTTATGGTTATTAGATTTGGACTACTTTTAATCATGTAATCTTATGATTGTATTGGTATAAGTACGATTTGTTAAATGACTTTAGCTGTATGAATACATACTAGTCATACTGCAAACATTCGGCATCCCTCTTGTGACCTAATTTACAAACATTTAAAAATTGTGTTGCAATTCTGCTTTGCTGTTTAATAAAAAGCCGTTTCAGAGATTGTGTGTTTTGATATGATTGCCTGGGTAACTGGGGTATGTAGTGGCATGTCCAGGGTTGTTCATAGCCACAGGATAAATAGCCGGTCTTAAGTATGCGTGTTACTGTGTGTTTAGGGCAATACTGTTTTTATTAAAACAAATATTGCTGGGTATTACACATTAATTTTAAAAATAAAAGCAAAACATTCAAAGAAAAAGGAAACCAAGATCTCCAGCGTAAAAACTCGAAAAAAACCAAACCTGTTGCCGTAGAATCGATTCTGACTCATAGTGACCCTATAGGACAGAGTAGAACTGCCCCATAGGGTTTCCAAGGAGCGGTTGATGGATTTGAACTGCTGACATTTTGGTTAGCAGCTGAGGTCTTACCTACTTCACCACCAGGGCTCTACCTCCAGGGTAAAGGGGGTTGTACTTTTTAGGTTAAGCCAAGCTACTTTAAGGAGCCATGGTGGCTCAATGGTTAAGTGCTGCTAACTGAAAGGCAAAGGTTGGCGGTTCAAATCCCCAGTGGCTCTGCAAGAGAAAATACCTGGCGATCTTCTCCAGTGAAGATTACAGCCTAGGAAACCCTATGGGGTGGTGCTATTCTGTTCTGTAGGACCGCTATGAGTCAGAATCAGCTCGACAGCACACAAGCTACTGTACTGAGACCTGATAATAAAGAATATAAAATAATGTAGTTTGTCTCCCAACTGATGGTTCCAAGGCGAGCACTGCAGCTGGCAGGTTTTTTTCAATGCAGGCGTTCAGGGGCTCGGGTTGAGGATGGCCTTGCCATTTTCAATACACGGCTTCCAAGTCACAAGTCGCCATTCTAATATGCAGGAGTCTTGGGGTGGCAGATGGTTACGCACTGGATGACTAACCCCCTCCTCATCCAGTTACTGATTCACTTCAAAGTCCAGGATCTTTATCAAGGTCCGTCAACTGATGTGGCTACTTAACAGTCTGACGATTTCTAAACTGATCGATCCCTGGGTGGTGAAAACGGTTAAGTGCTTGACTACTATTTGAAAGGTTGGCAGTTCAAACCCACCTAGAGGCACCTTGTTAGACAGACCTGGTGTCTGCTTCTGAAAGGTCACAGCCTTGAAAACCCTATGGAGCAAGTCTATTCTGCACACGTGCGGTTGCCATGGGTCGGATTTGACTCGACAGCAACAAATCCTTGCCCCTGCTCGTATGTAGTGGTGAAACAGTGGAGATGATGACCACAATAAAAACTCCCAATGTGGAAAATGGAAGAAAGTGAAACACTGATTCAAAGCAATTATGGACTATTTCTAGGGAGGCCCTCTAAAGACTCTGTCCTAACAGTGGGGAAGTTCTGGGTTAGACCCTCATTCTGATCTCTGGCAGGGACGCCCTTGGCCATTGCCCTCCACAGTTCCTCTCTCTGGGAAGTTATTTCTTATCCATTTCCCTTATTGCTACATCTGAAGTGGAGGTTGGGGCGTGTTCCCTACATGGGAGTTGTGAAAATAATCCACGTGTTTGGTGCCCATCGTTTTAAGCTCGTGTTTCTTTCGTGGAAAAATTCCTTCAAAAAAGTCAGGTTTTTTTGTCTATATGCTTCTAGTTCCAAGTGCTGGGAACCACAACTAAACTCTTCACTAGGCCAAATTCTTAAAGTGTCTTTTATTTCTTTCCTTCTTCACAGGCTCCTGCCTCTCTAAAACCGGAGGCTACGTTGAGGCCAACTGAAAATGACTGCTCAGGGAATAATACACTCACACTATTGCCATAGGGCTAGGTCCCTTTTTTTTTGCTTAACATTTGACAGAGGAATCTGAATTGGTTTTCCCGTTCTATCTCCCACACCCTCAAAATAAAACAATTTTGAGCCTTTCCTGCTATTCAGGATACAGAAGCAATTGACTTTTCTAACCCTGTGAGGTTCCTAATATTTGAACTTCTCTATTCCCTTCCATCTCTCCTTGGAAACTGGTCAGTTCTTTTTTGTGATACCTTGCTAAAAGCACCAAAACCAAACCTGTTGCCCTCTAGTTAATTCCAATTCATAACAACCCTACAGGGCAGAGTAGAACTGCCCTATAGAGTTTCCTAGGCTGTAATCTTTATGAAAGCAGACAACTACTTCTTTCTCCTACACAGTGGCTGGTAGGTTCGAACTATCGACCTTTCAGTTAGCAGCTGAGTGCTTTAACCATTGTGCCACCAGGGCTCCTCCAAAAGCATCAAGGAGTAACCAATTCATTAAACATTTTGACTTTTTTCCAACTGCCACCCCTAGAACTATTGGCTTAGAGGATGACAAAATATCTGAAATATATGTCCTACCCATAGGCCACGTGAATGTCAATGCCACACACTTTTGGTTTTATGGGAGCACCTCATTTCAGAATATTGAACACTATATTAGAAGCACAGGTGATAAAACAGTGCACACAGGGACTGTGTCCAGCTTCCTAGCTCTAAATGCTGGTGGAATGGTGACTGGTAGGAAAATCAGCATCTTCTTTTTTTCCAAGCTTCCCCAGTAGGGACCAATATGGACACCTACTGCCATTCCATCCATCCTCTTCCCTTTATATTCCCTTTGTCTGAATTTACTTAGAGTAAGGAACTACAGATACACAATCCCTTATCTGGAACTCTTGGGGCCAGATGTTTTAGAATTTAGACTTTTTTGATTTCATAAAGTATTAGGACTCATATACCAATATGGTTTGAGGCAGTACCTGCAATCAAATATATTAACATTTCAGCAGTGAAAGTATATGAATATTAATACTAAATAGACAATAAACAGCCTGTCAGGTGAGGTCAGGTGGGGCTGACAACTGAACTCTGGTGCCAAACTGATAAAAAAAACTTTTTTTCGGAGCTTTTTGTTTTGGAATTGTACCTGTAGCAACAAAAATGTAGAAAAGTAAGCAAAATCATGTAAGTATGTAGTTCCAAGTAGTTTATAACGTCGCAGCTCTGTTCGTGAGGTGAATTATAAAATCTAAAATTAGTTTTGTAGTCCAAAGCAAAACAAAACTGATGTTGATTCTGTAGAAGGTTTTCTTCCTGTCCCCGGTAGTTTTGTTTTCCCCTATCCTGAGTTAACACCCTCTGGCGGTTGACATCAGGTGTTTCTTCAACACTGATAGAACCAAAATTATTACCAGCTGAGATCCACAGATAACTTTAGTTGTTAAAACCACCTGTAATCCTGAAAGAACGGAAGATGTGATTATAGGAAAGGATGTTTAAGAACTGAAAGAAAATGAGTTAATTCCCTCTTAGCTACTCTATCAGAAAAACAAGCTAGTTTATTTCAGTTAAATCCTACAGGTTAAGGGTATTTACAAGCAAATCTGCTGTAACAAGGACTTTGATTATGCTGGCCTTCCACCGTTACTGTCCATTCTGACTCATAGTGACCCTATAGGACAGAGTAGAACTGCCCCATAGGGTTTCCAAGGCTGTAATCTTTACGGAAGCAGACTGCCCATCTTCCTCCCGAGGAGCAGCCAGTGGGTTCGAACCACTGACCTTTTGATTAGCAGCCCAGTGCTTAACCACTGCACCACCAGGGCTCCTTCATGTTGGCCTTAGGACCTAATTCGTCTCTTAATGGGGTGAGTGGAGGTGTTGAGTGATGACAGAAACTAAAGTAATACATTACAACCAACTGTATATTTATCCTGTTTTAAACTGTATACAGATGACTCCTTATTATATGTCTAATCTGTTATTGTTGTTGTCAGGTGTTGATGAGGCAATTTTGACTCTTGGTGACCCCATGTGACAGAGGAGAACTGCCTCATAGGGTTTTCTAGGCTTTAATCTTTATGGGAGCAGATCACCAAGTCTTTCTCCTGTGTTATTAAACCTGAGAATACCCCCAAATTTTACTAAGAATGTATACTGTATTTATTTAACAAATATAAAATGCTTAAGGTACTACGCTAGGTGTTAAAAAATCCTTTTCCAATTATCCTGCTGCCCATCTTCTCTAAAACTACCCTTACTCTCCCCTGTGTCTGGATCTCTAGGATCAAACTCCAAATGTATTTTCTCTCCTACCACCCCTTCAACTCAACTATCAGATTAGGAATAATTTAATTTCCTAAATTCCTCACAGTTGTCACACTATGGAAATGAACTGGAGCTATAATTTGAGAAGAAATCATTTAAATGTATGTAGAAATACTATTATGTTTTAACCATTTATACAAAAGATTTAAGTAGCCATTTGATATTTTATCTCTAAATCTTGCTGAGGTTAAAACACAGTCAATATTGAAAAAAGAATCCAAAAAACTGCCTAGATTATATTTGTTTTAACTATTCTGAATAGTTTCATACTGGATACAAAATCATTTTTGGACTACTATTCTAAATTTCTAGGTATATTAAATTCACTGCTAGTGGTTAATTTTAGTACATAAGCAGTTCCATCCTATCTCTCCCCCAGAAGTGGGACTGACATCTCAAAAAGACTGCTAATCCTAGTAAAAGTGGTATCTTTTTAGAGAAATTATAAATGGAAGCGGGGCTACCTTAAAAAAATAATCAAGAAAAGGTAAGTTGCTTTAGCCTGGTCAAGTTTAAAAAGCCTCTAAAAAGGCCAACTAAAATAAAGAAAAGCAAAATACACTTATTTTCCTCCTTTATTAAAGAATAAAATTTAAGTCCTTTTAAACAATAATGTTAGATTAGGGTAGTAAAAGGAGAAAGTCATTTGGTTATTAAGAAAGACTTGATATCTTAGAAAGACAAATGGAGATATATATGTATATAGATAGATATCTCCCCAGGCTTTTTCTACTACATGGATCTAGTACACATTACTTAGCATTTAAGTTTTGGTTAAACCTGTCAGCCACAGTACATCCACAGAGGGGGCAATTAACAATGACCTGGCAAAACTGGTTGCTCAAATTTTACCACTGAAAGTTCATGAAGTTTGTTAAAACTAAAATGAACCTGCAACCAAAAAATTAAAGAAAAAAACTTTAGAAAAAATTTCCACATACAAGACACCTGTCAGCCAAAGTTTCCATAAAATTAAGAAATGATTTATCTCCTGCGTAGTTACTTTCAGAAACGTTCTCATCTAGAATGATTCATTATATCTAGTTCATTTGAACATTCTAAATACAAAGCAAGAGAGGGAGTCCTTGCAAAATGTGTTAAGTTAGTTTGTATAAATAAATACAAAGTTATGGCTAAACTATGTATCAAGGTTTGCCACCACCAATTTATGAAAGTTCAGAATA